AGGATGCTGAGGAGTCCATTGAGGCGGTGAATGCCAAATGTGCCTCTTTGGAAAAGACCAAGCAGCGACTGCAAAATGAAGTTGAGGATTTCATGATTGATGTGGAGAGAGCTAATGCTTTGGCTGCCAACCTTGACAAGAAACAAAGGAACTTTGATAAGGTAAAGCAACCGAGTCTTTTGCACATTATTTCAGTTACATTCAATATAGTTGTGATGCACCTCACCGTAGGTATAATGTTAAATGTCATAAAGGTCTTGGCAGAATGGAAGCAGAAGTATGAGGAGAGCCAGGCAGAGCTGGAAGGAGCCCAGAAGGAGGCTCGGTCTCTTAGCACAGAACTTTTCAAAATGAAAAATTCTTATGAGGAGGCTTTGGACCACCTGGAGACCCTGAAGAGGGAAAACAAGAACCTTCAGCGTACGTACAATCATTCACTGCAGAACTATCAGTGATATTTTCTTTTACTTTTTTAGATCTTCTCCAGAATAGTATGTTTTAACCCACTGTTAATCATGTGTCCTTTCATGTATACAGAGGAGATCTCAGATTTGACTGAGCAACTTGGTGAAACTGGAAAGGCTATTCATGAGCTGGAAAAAGGAAAGAAAACTGCTGAAATGGAGAAATCTGAAATCCAGGCCGCACTTGAAGAAGCTGAGGTAAAGTGGCGCTTATTTTTTTTAATTGACATTATTTCCACTGTTCTAGCAAACAATTCCCTACAAACTATCCTAATTTTCAGGCGACCCTAGAGCATGAAGAATCCAAGATTCTTCGTGTTCAGCTTGAGCTGAACCAAGTGAAAGGGGAGATTGATCGGAAATTGGCTGAGAAGGACGAGGAGATTGAACAGATCAAGCGAAACAGCCAGAGAGTCATTGATTCCATGCAGACCACCCTGGATGCTGAAGTCAGAAGCAGAAATGATGCTCTGAGAATCAAGAAGAAGATGGAAGGAGACCTCAATGAGATGGAGATTCAGTTGAGTCATGCAAATCGCCAGGCTGCTGAAGCTCAGAAACAGCTCAGGAACGTCCAGGGACAACTCAAGGTTTGTTCTGTTACAGCAGTGTAGCACTATATCTTGATCTGACTAATGAGATCAGAAGATCTAATTATCTCTTGATTTCTTCAGGATGCTCAACTCCATCTTGATGAGGCTTTACGAACACAAGGGGACTTGAAAGAACAGGTTGCTATGGTTGAACGCAGGAATAACCTGATGCAGGCAGAGATTGAGGAGCTGAGATCTGCTCTGGAGCAGACAGAAAGAGCTCGCAAAGTGGCTGAGCAGGAACTTCTGGATGCCAGTGAGCGAGTGACTCTCTTACACTCCCAAGTAAGAAGAATGATTTGTTATAAGTATTTTCTTAAGGAATAACTCATAATCAAAATTATTTTTAACATTATTTCAATTTCTTCAGAATACCAGTCTTATTAACACCAAGAAGAAACTGGAAGCAGATCTTGTTCAGATTCAAGGTGAGATGGAAGATGTAGTCCAAGAAGCACGCAATGCTGAAGATAAGGCAAAGAAAGCAATAACTGATGTAAGTAAAAAACTGTTCATTGATAAGTTGTTGTGTATATTTTGACGTTCTTTAACCTGCTGTCGACTACTAATTTGCACATCCTTATTTAACAAAGAAACTGAATTCTGAGTAAAAAATTATTCCAGGCCGCCATGATGGCAGAGGAGCTGAAGAAGGAGCAGGATACAAGTTCTCATCTTGAGAGGATGAAGAAGAATCTGGAAGTTACAGTCAAAGACCTGCAACACCGTCTGGATGAGGCTGAGAGTCTGGCCTTGAAGGGTGGAAAGAAGCAGCTCCAGAAACTGGAGGCCAGGGTATGTGGCTATACACATGGTACATTACATTTTTAGAGACTTAACATTGGCTAATTTTGCAGATGAATGATGACGACAATATAATTAATGATTTAAAAAGTGGGTGGAGGGACTGAATTATTCAGCGCACTGAAGAAGGCCTTGAGCCGAAACGTTGATGTTTTGTCCTGCTGGTGATAAATGTAAAATAAGATGTTAAAAGAAGACTATTTTTGTGAGTGCGGATCATGGTTTCATATACGGAGTAATCGAATAAATTGACACACCAAAATAAAGTATTAAGTGACGAAAGAGTGTGGTGCAAACGGTTTTGTGGAATGTACACATGGTACATTCACTAACTTTATCACGAGCATAAAGTCAGGAATAATTTTAATTATCTTCTGTATTTCAGGTTCGTGAGCTGGAGGGCGAAGCTGAAGCAGAACAGAGACGCAGTGCTGAAGCTGTGAAAGGAGTCCGCAAATATGAAAGAAGAGTGAAGGAACTGACTTATCAGGTACTCCCTGAAACAAAAATATGTATATGTAGGTATGATAAACGGTCCAATTAAGGCATTATGTTTTTCTGACACAGACTGAGGAAGATAAGAAGAATATTATCAGACTGCAAGACCTTGTGGACAAACTTCAACTGAAAGTCAAGGCCTACAAGAGACAGAGTGAAGATGCTGTGAGTAATTTTAAAGTTTGAAGAGTGGTACACTACAAAATATTCTGGATATGATAAACCTAAACAAGTGTTATTTAATTGACAGGAGGAACAGGCCAACACTCACCTGACCAGGTTCAGAAAGGTGCAGCATGAGCTGGAGGAAGCTCAGGAGAGAGCTGACATCTCTGAGTCCCAGGTCAACAAGCTGAGAGCTAAAAGCCGTGAACTCGGGAGGGTAAATATCACACTTTTATTTATTACATTACTTGTGCACAAGCATTTTGTTATTCATAAACAAAATTTTGTGCATAAGCATTTTAAACAAAATCTACAATATGAAACATTATTAAATTTTGATAAAGCTTCAGTTTTTTTTATTATTTTTAATTTGTTTACAGGGTAAAGAGGCTGAGGAATGAACCTTCTGTGAAAGAGAGTGGGCAGAGAAACAAGAACTCATATAATATGAAATCCTTGTAAAATGTCCACAAAAACCAGTAACTAATAAAAAAGCTCATCTGAGGTGTATTTGTGTTTTGTTTAATTAAATATTTGGTTACATTTGTATAGCTTTAATGGTATTTCAAACATTTTTTAAAACATTGGTTACATCTGTATCTATGTGTGTGCTCATCTGACTAAAAAAAAATTGCTAGTTCTACATGATCCAACAAAATGTGTTTTTGCCCAATAGATACGTGGGAATACAGATACCTTGGTCATAGCACATCCCAACTTTATACTAAATGGAAAAATGTACTGAAAGACGTATAATTCTTCTATAGAAAAACCTACTGAGCAAAACAGAGGTTTAAAAACTGCACAGCTATGACAGAACTAGACATTACTTACCTTAACGCCACATTAGCATCAAGCAAATGACTCACATAATCCACAAGCCACATCGACAGAATCTCTCTGGAGGACTTTAAAAGGCTGCTCTATTAGAAAAGAAACACAATTTCTGGGGAACCTTAAGCAAGCAAAGTTATGTTTTATTTAACCTTTATTATATTCAATCTCTCCTCTAGATACAATATATACGACCACCAGGGGTTGCTATGCGCTACTACTCGCTCTAAGCTGCAGTACAACCGCCTCTTGTCAGTTTTATATGGGAAGTTCTACATTCCCACGATTCGGTTCTTTCGAGCAGTTCATTTCAAAGAACAGGTTAAAAAATACTGATTCGCCGATTCTTTTACGCGATGGACATCACGCAGTCCCGTGACGTAAACGCTGAACATACTGCTATTAAATAATTAATTTACATTACTCGGGTTTTGTGCATTCTAAAAAATAGCTGTTGAACCAAGTTTTTATGCGTGTTAAGATTTCTGAAATGAAAACTGGGGACATGTCCTTGTTCAGTGGTCAAAATATTATTGAAATCTCACTTGTGGTTATCTACGACTTTTAAAAAAAAACGGGGACAATATGTTTTTATATGTTTTTGTTTTTTAATTGTTGTAGGTTCCATATACTATATTATAATTAATAATTATAATGAATGATGTTTGAGGATCAGGCTGAACTTAGTTTAATACAATTGACTAAAAATCACACTATGAAAGATGTTAAATAGTAACTATTGCCAAAAAAACAGATCAAAACAACATATTATAACATAATTTTGAATTATAACAATAAATATGACAATAAATTATAAATAAAATTGCATTTAACAAAATATTTCTAATATTTTCTGTACTTAACTGTATTTAACATTTTCACGAACTGTGAGTATACAGTAATTACATTTTTTTTTTTAATGTTATTTTAGGGCTATATTTATGCTTTTTGGACATTAATCTTTACTATCCCTAATTGGGCTTATTATTTTGCATTTTAGGTGCATTTTTACCACAAAGTGCTTTCTGCAAATGTAAATGTTCAAGTGTAATTTTTTTAAATTTATCATAAATGTTATTATTCATTCATATCTGAGTTGTGACGGAATTTTTTTAAGGGAATGTTTGATATTGTGTGCAAAACAATCCCGCACCCTTTCATACCTGTACACACAAACCGTATTACTTTAATGTAACGTGTACCCTATATGTGAATACATTGAAACCGATATCTCTATTGCTAATTGATGATAATAGCGCTCGTTCTTTCGTCCCGATTCAGTTTTGAACGTGATGTAAAACGGGGACAGCTCCAGTCGGGGACAGGACACCAAAAACCGGGACTGTCCCCGGAAAACGGGGGCGTCAGATTACCTTCGAATAAAACTGTCACACAATCAATTTGTAAACATATTTCCAGTATTTTGTAACATTCTGCTATTCGACTAATTTTATTTTCACCCTATTAGTCAAAATACTGTTCACTCCAAATGTTCTTACTAACTTACTCATTTACAAGTCGTCCATCGTTCAGTCCGATTCATCAACGGATCGTTCAGATCAGTTTGTAGTCCGTGTTCCTGTTCAATCGACTCCTTCAAAAGATTCGATTCTAAAGAACGGCTCATTCAAGAATCGGACGTCGCTACCGTGGGACATGATGAATAGTGCGTTGGAGATGTAGCAGGAATGGCGTCCCTCGAAAGTCCGGTCAGCTGCACGTTCACTTCAAGATGCACAACTAAGGAAGCTGACAGATAAATTCTCAGCTGACTCTACAAGACACTCACAACAGGGATTTTGAAGAGAATGAATTTCAAAATGATGCTTCGCCGCTCGCAGGATACTAGAAGCTGCCCAGTTGCTATAATCACGCGTCTCGATGTAAACAAGAGAGTGAATGTTGACAACTGAAGTGCTGAGTAAGCTAGAGAGTGTCATGCTACCGTAAGCCGGAGGTACGCTTATACTGACGAAAATAAATCTTACGAAAATGTCTTCATACGCAGTTTAAATGCGCTGGTGTTATCGAGGAACGTTACATTTTGCTATCTGTTCGTGTGTTTAATAAGCTTGTTACAAAAGTAGCCTTTTAGCAGGTTAGCCAGTCAGCTACTCTTCTGGGTGACGCCTGTTTTAATGCAGGATTTTCTATCTGTCAAATACCTGCCAAATAACATCTATGGCTTGTATCATAATATTGAGAACAGGTTTAAATTGTGTATTTTAAAAGTCTTGTCTGCCAAAAAGATGGAACCCCAGGACAATATTGAGGAGGATGACACCGCATCATCATCATCATCATCATCACCGCCACCGCGATCTCTGCCCCGTCAGCGCGTGTCTCTGCAGAAAAACAGCGTGTGTTCTCGCTCATACTTCATGGTGGTGATGGTTTTTTTCCACGTTTATATTATCAGTGTCATTGCACTTCTGCTCTATGTTCATTATAATAACGGCTCTAACGCGATAATGGCAAACCGGTATTTTACAAGCAGAGACAGCAGTCATAAAGTTACTGGACCGTCAGATCCCCAGACCCTTGCAGACTCGGGCTTCCCTCGAAATATGTATCTCCCTCGCATTGAAGGAATACGGGTAAAGAGTATAAGATGATTTGGGGCTCTGTGAGTATTGTCATATTCTTTGGTCTTCTTCTTTCTTTGGAAAAAATATTCTTTTTTAATTTTTAGGTGGGCCATGTCCAAAAAGTGTCACTGGTGCCAGGGAAAGTCTATGAAATGAAGACACTCAGTCTAAAGCCCCTTCTGTTTGGTAAGGACAAGTTGCTGTAATGGAATAGTTCACCCAAAAAAATAAAAAAGTTGTTCATTTATGTCGTTCATAAACATATGATTTTCTTTTCATGAAACACACAAAAGGTGATATTTAGCAGATTGTCTTTTTCATACAGCAATAATAAGGGGCTGCTGAAAGGACAAGAAAGTGCCAAAAAGTTGTCCACACTTGCACAATTAGTGAGCGGTTATCCTAATATGGCTAGCATCCACTTACCTACTTTTCAGCCAAATCAGTTACAACTATTGGATGAACATTATATCACCTAATTGATTTGAATGCTAAAGGCCTGTTCACACCAAGAACAATAACTTCAATAAAGATAACTATAGCTCTTTAAAGTCAGTTGGATTCTGATTGGCTGTCATTGTTTATATCGCTCTTTAGCTGGAAAAAATTTCTGAGAGTGATTCCAATGATGTTGCTCCTCTGTGTTGGTTAATGCTGTTGTGTGGACGTCGCTATTTAGAATTTAATATAATATAATAGACTTTTAAAGTTATATTTGTCCACAGTTTCAGTTACAACTATTGGATGAACATTATATCACCTAATTGATTTGAATGCTAAAGGCCTGTTCACACCAAGAACAATAACTTCAATAAAGATAACTATAGCTCTTTAAAGTCAGTTGGATTCTGATTGGCTGTCATTGTTTATATCGCTCTTTAGCTGGAAAAAATTTCTGAGAGTGATTCCAATGATGTTGCTCCTCTGTGTTGGTTAATGCTGTTGTGTGGACGTCGCTATTTAGAATTTAATATAATATAATATAATAGACTTTTAAAGTTATATTTGTCCACAGTTACTCTTAACTCTAATGATAACTGTTTTAATAATCATTTAAATTCTAACAGAACAGTCCACACAACAGTTATAATGAAAACAACATCAATCTTTGGAATCTTTTTCAGAATGATTTTACCAGCTGATGAATTATAAAAACATTGAGAGCCAATGAAAAGTGCTTGAGCATTTAAAGCAGCAGACGACATAACCGCAGTGCATGCTTATAATAAACTAAATGTATATAGTCCATTGGTGTGGATTTTAGTAATACAAATATTTAATCAACAATTCCCAATATGCACAAACATGAATGAGAGGTATCTTTGAGGTCATTTCTATTTTTAGGTAATTTGTTGAAATGAAAAGTTCAGTCTTTTTGTTGAGGCATGCATTGTTTCCTGTCTAAGTGGTTTTGCGTGTTTGTGTTTGTTGATTCATTCATTTGCGTGAAATGTTGTGGCCATGTTTGTGTTTGCATTGCTGCAGAGATCCCTGAGTTTCTGTCAGAGGAGGAGTGTGGCGTAGTTGTGCATCTGGCTCAGCTGAAGGGTTTGATGGAGAGTCAGGTCATGGTCCCTGAAGGTCAAGAGGAACTTAATCAGCAGCTCAACCTCAGTCCAGAGGAAATCTTCAATTTTCTGGACCTCAACCAAGATGGCCAGCTGCAACCACATGAGGTCTGTTGGCAGTCGTCAATGTTTGTTGAGCCTTGGTTTTGCAGTTTGGCAATACTGAGAACATGTAATGTGTCGGTATATCTCGTGTTTATCTCTGTTTGTGTTTGTTTGTTTACTTTGTGTAATCTGTAAATTTACTGCCATATTTTCTGGTGTAGATATTGACACACTCTCGAGTGAGAGATGGAATCTGGTTAACTTCTGAGAACCTTAAGGAAATCTATGATGGCTTAAAGGTTGATCAGGATGGAAATGGTAAAGACCGAAGCTGAAGATCTTATTTGAACATTACAGCTTAACTGCAAATGTCCGATAAATGGACCCTCAAAGGATACAAATATCATAGATCACCAAATACTTGCTAAATCTGAGTACCCATATGTATGTTTTGAGTATATGTCTCTCTTGACGCAGGTCTCTTGAGTTTAGAGGAGTTCAGGCGTCTGAAAAGTGATGCCTTTCAGCGTTTTCTGCTACAGCGTGGGGTGGAGAGGAGCCAGCTGGTGAGGAACAGCAGACACACCTGGCTCTACCAGGGACAGGGAGCACATCAGGTTCTTCAAGACCTCCGCAAGAGGTGTCCACCACTCACCTTATCTGCTCTCCTATTGTCCACCCATCACATGTGCTGATATACAGCTTTTCTAAATCTGCCTGCGCTTTTTTAAAGGGGCCATATGATGTTGCTAAAAAGAACATTATTTTGTGTATTTGGTGTAATGAAATGTGTTTATGCGGTTTAAGGTTCAAAAAACACATTATTTTCCACATACTGTACATTATTGTTTCTCCTCTATGCCCCGCCTTTCTGAAACGCGTCGATTTTTACAAAGCTCATCGGTCTGAAAAGCGAGGTGTGCTCTGATTGGCCAGCTATCCAGTGCGTTGTGATTGGCCGAATACCTCAAGCATGTGACGGAAATGTTACGCCCCTTAACATACTGTGATGCCGTGTCCCGGCCGGAGCGACACCTCTTATTTTATTTTCGATACCAATACGATACCTCTAAACTAAACTGATTTTTAAAATTATTTAAAGAATATAATCAGTAATTATACTCACTTAATATTAGA